TTTCTAAATTCTGACTTCTAAAAATGAATTTATGAAAAATGATCTGTTTTTTCCCAGCTACCTGGTTCCTTTTTATCAGTAACATTTCCCTTGTTTGGCTATGCTTTTAGTGATTAAAAAGGGAGTGAACTTAACAGGTATTTGTGGAGGGCCAATGTAATACTTTGTGATATCTACCTATTGCTATCTTGTTCATCCTGCCAGGAAACTTAAAGGTAGGGAATGCGTAGTCTGAAAGTATTATTTTTGGATTAGTTGGCAAATGAAGAGTTGCAAGTACAGCTGAAGCCCTACAGAATGCCACTTCTCACACAATACCATGGGAATAGTAAAGACTGCCTTTTATCTCTCTGCTTCTTACATGGACACTGAGTGTTCATGTAGCAGGGAAAGAAACCTGCTATTGACCTCCCTTAACATTGGTGTGGATCCTAATAGACTTTGCTCTATTCACTTCTTAAAGAGAACAGTTTATCTATAAACAAATGAAGAAACATCTTTCTCTAAGTCACATCTTCCTAGATCAAAAGATTAAAAATAAAAATAACACTGTACAGGTTTGTGGTCTTTCACATGATCCTGTTTGTGAGCAAAGTTTTCTGAATAAACTAATGCATCGTTACTTTCTTATTGTCTTCAGAATAGTCCTTTTACATACAAGCTCTTCTACCTGCTACACTGACACAAATGACTAATACAATCAGATTTAAGGAAATAATGATCTCTAAAGTTTACTGAACTCAAAAGGTATTTCTTGGGAACTCCATCAAATACTGAATGACAGGGTTGCACATGTTTCTTTTAGAAAATTTTTAAAAGCATATTACTACCATCCTTTTCCTTCTGCCTTCCAGTCTGTCCCAGACCTGTAGATACCATTTGGAGCTTTTTCGTCTTCTTAGTGCATGGTTAGAAAAAGGGAATATGGAAGAGACTGGTTTGCAGCCCAGTCCTGGGTTAGTTCAGAGCAACCATGAGTTCAGTGAAGGAATAGTTAAGCAGTGCAATCCTGTACACTACACTCTCCAAATTATAACAGCCCTGCTGATCCATCATGTGTTGTGGTGTGACCTTTGTTTTTGGGCTTATGCAGGGGAGTGCTGGCCATGCAGTTCTTCATGCCAGAAATATTTCCCATGGGGATGCACAATGATATTTATGGTCTTGTAGAGCAATTATGAAGTAGATTGACAGAATTTCTGACTTTTGTTTTCATCTTGGTCCTCAAGATTAAAGTGAACTTCAGTTTGCGGGTTGACCAGTGTTACAAGTTTCTTTGCAATTTATTGCCCGAGAACAGTTTTAGAATCTTCTGGTCCTGTGCTGGTGGAAAAGACTCGGGCATCCTGACTCACAATATTGTCCCTGCCTGGAACTTGTTATCTATAAATTTCCTCAAGGCCACTTATGATTTTGTACCCTCACTTTCTCTCACTCTCATTAGCCTATAGTCTTTTACAGATTGAAGAGTCTTAATGTGTTAAATCAATCCATGTATGGAAGATGTTCTATACTTTTTGATCGTTCTTGTTGACCTCTGTAACCCTTTTCTAAACCTGCTTTTTTTGAGAGAGAGAGGTTAAAGGGGAAGGGAATGATCAGAACTGTGCCCAGAATTGAGCCTGTCAGACAATGTATATTTTATAGCTTTTTTTTCCCTCCCAAAATAGTTACTTTTATACATTTTGGATTTCCAGTTAATTCTTTGTCCTTCTTTTCATTTGGAACATGTGAAAATGTAACAGGTAACAGATCTGAAAGAATAAGGAGGGACATTGAAGTTGTTTCTTAGTGTTTCTTCTAAACTGAAAGTTTAGTTATTCTGCCTTGAACAAGGAGAAGCCTACTTCAGTGTGCTTTAAAATATATGCTGCCCTGTTTACACTAGAACCCTGCAATGTGCCAGCAAAGCGGGGGGCTAACATCTGTGCTAGCCCGAGTACGTAAAACCCCGAGAGTTTCAGCAGGGAAAAAAAAGGCTGGGAACTCTTCACAGCCATGCTGCTAATTTAATATGACATCGTTTGGTTTATAAAACATAGCTGTTTCCTCCTGCAAGGCAAAGGATTTTATTTCCAGTATGACAGTGGAATGTGATATGATTATGGGATAAGTATGTGAACACTTGTGTTAGAGCTTGTGAGCTTGTCTACTGTGAAGTAGATATTTTAAGACTGCTAATTACTCTGAGCTGAATGAACTTTTTATAATGTTTGAATCTACTCAGTGATAGAGTTCTTTGAAAATCAGATACATGGGTGTCAACTTTTAAGAAGTTGAGGTTTATTTATCATGGAAAGTATATACATATTTGGAGAGAAAGTGCTTGATATTAAACTGCTAAAGCTGAAACATTTGAAGATCTCTTCCACTATCCTAAAGTTTTAACATAAACATTCTAGTTACGATTTCTCTGCGGTCATAAAAAATGGAAGTCAGGCTTATTTTCTGAAAGATCCCTCATAACAGAGGGACTTGCATGCTTAAAAATATTAAATATTTATTTTTCCCTCATCAGTTCCTGAAACTGTGTTTCTTGCAGTAGAGTTGATGTAAAAATAAGCAGCTGTGAATCTTGTTCTCTTCTTTGCCTATCTCCATGGTAGTGAAGTATTTTAGATTGGTATGTCCATCTCAGTCTTTGTAACAATGCCATCCTTTTTTAATACTAGCTATTTTTTATCCTCAGTGATGAGATTTAAACAGTATACAGAATTGTATTGTAGTTTTTGCTCTACCATGGGGTAGTTGGAGCATTCTGCAGTGCGTCAGAAAAATAAATGACTGGTGTGATTAAGACAAATTTCTGGTTTGATTATTTTGTGGATATAGAGAAAAAGGTCAATCTGTTTTTTTTTAAGATGCAGGAAATAAAAAGAAAAAAAAAATCTATATTGGAAGAGCTTCTTCTGTGAAGGTATGACATATGCTTCATAAGTAACATGTATCTTCTGTCAGATTTCTGAATTAAGGAAATCATAAAATAATCTGAATTTAAAACTCTGAATGAGCTAGTGAGACTCTAAATATCATATCTCCTTTTGCCTATGTACAACACGGAGTGTTTAAAAAGTTTGACTAATGCATGTAAAAAAAAAAAAGTTATTCTAAGGCACCTGTAGAAGATATTTATGGTCTCCAAAGAAGATAGTCCACAATTCAAGGAACTTTAGTTAGTAAACAAAGTTTATTGCAAAAATATGCAATGATGGAATAGTGAAGCATCATAAGTGTTAGACACTTCTCCCAGAAGCCATATGGGTCTAATGTGCAAGGTGATATATAGACCTCTCATAAGATTTTTCTGGCATATACTTTTTTCTTTTTTTTTTCTTAGCCCAAGAAAGCATCCATTAGTGGATTGTCATCATGCATCTGTTACGTTCTCCTCCTCTTTAACCTGCCCTAATGAGTAGAAATTACTTGCTTTTTCAGTACAAGACTTCAGAGAAACTCTGATTGGATTTTAACAGTATTCACTAAGAAAATGTCTTGAGGAACATTCAGTTAAATTTAATTGCTGCCTCTTTCTTGCTGTGCCTTTATTAGAGTTCTGTGTGACTTAGGAAGAACAGTTTGTGTGTGTGTGCATGTTCGAAACTGTTACTGAGACTCAGTGGAATTAAAAATACAAGTAAGTGGATTAGAGAAATAAATGGCTGTATATTAAGAACTTGCACTGGAAATAAAATATTTGGAATTTGTACGTTTATTTGTACGGTAATGACAGCAAGTCCCTTTTATACACAAGGGTTCAGTAGTATGGTCGAGGCTTCCACATTTCTACTGTTGCTGCAGCAAGTACGTGATCCAGTTAATTTGAATATATATCAGAGGGCTCTTCTCAGCCCTGCAACACTTCAAAGAAACATGTTTGGTCAATTGTCTAATCTGACTAGTCCACAAAGCAGACATATTCTCCAAATGTTCTCACTTGAAGTGATTTAATGATAATTTGTTTTGTAGGTTGGCAGTGAAATAATCTATTGTGAATTTATTTTAGCAACAGCAATAAAAAGCGTGATCCATTTTTTTTCCGAAATACTTTTTATTAGACAGCAGTCTCTTCTTTGCAGTAGTGGACAATATAAAAAATAGGATTTTTATCACTGAACACTTATGTAGCAATCTCTTCATATCTAGAGTAAGACTTGCTGATACGAAGTATTTTAAGTTGCTGTGAGAAGTTTTGGACAGCAGTATCAAAAGATGATGGTTATCCTCTAAATTTAAATGCGGTGTTGTTGCAAATCAAAATACTTTATTACATAAAAATTTAAATCAGGTCCTATTTATGGTAGGAGTATGGCCTGTAAAGAAAAACAAACTTGCTGCTCCAATTGTATTCAGTTACTTTTGGTCTTGAGAAACAGCTAGCTAATAATTGATGAAATTTTTACGGTACTTTAAAAATACTGTATTGAGTGTGGCAATGGACATATTTTAAGATGACTATTAAGCTTATGCACAGAGCAGATACTGTGGTAGCCTTATTTTGGGAAGTATTAAGAGGCTTTTATAGACAGCCATCTCTCATGAGATCTTCAAGAGCTGGGTCCTGTACTGCTGAAGTGAAGGGAAGTGTTGTCATTGTAAATGCTTGGTCTTCAGCTCAGCAAGGACCTTATCATGACTGAGGCCTAAGGGAGCTGTATTACCAATCACTTTACTAAGGGAGTAAAGTGATTGGTAATACAATAATCTGCTTTGAGAGACCTTTTATAATGACAATATCAAATAGGCTAGAATTTGACTTGTTTCTTAGGCACTGGCAGAAGCTGAACCCTGCATGCTGCTCATACCACTTAAATCCTTTTATATGTAGGTCATGTGAGACCTTTTAATTTGCTCAAGATTTTTAGTCTTTTCTAGCTCTGCTGTAAAACAGTTGTTCTGGTTAGAAAATGATTTGTGACATACAGAACTGGGAAAGAAAGATATAGAAAATGGAGTCTAAAAGAGATCATATCATTAATATAAATTTGTTTCTAACATTTCAGATTTTTCTTCTTGCCTGTCCTCCATGTCGGATTGCAATGATTCTCTTCAGGTAATGCCTCTTCCTTGCTATATTTCTGTCTACTTGCATAATGTATTTTAGAAGTTAATCACAGCTTAAGTCATAAAATATTAAGATATATATCCAGTTGGAAAGGCGTATTGGTTGGATTGAAAAATGACACCTTGAAAAGGTCAGGGCTTAAATCGTGGGTGTTGAGCCACATACCCTTGGTTCTTTTGTACTGGTGGTTTTGGCCTCACTTAGCAACACAAATTAGCTCAGTTAAGATGAGAATGCAGGCATCTTTCTACAGATTAATGTATGGACTTGTGTAATTTATGTCATGTGCCTTGTACCTTTTTATTATCCTCACTAAAAATTAGAAACGGGGCTTCACTGAAGGCCATACATACAGTATGGATCTAGTTTTAAAATTGTGGATGCAAGTTAAATAGCAAAAGCAAATTCTTCCTGACTTGGGTATTTCTCAAATCTATGCAATCTTTTCTAAAATGTTGTGTATTGTTACTAACTTTAGGAACCATAAGAGTTTCTCACGTGCAGGAAGCTCTAACGGACTACTGCAGTAGAATCATAGAATCACTAAGGTTGGAAAAGACCTCTAAGATCATCGAGTCCAACCGTTAACCCAACACCACCGTGTACACTAAACCATGTCCCTAAGCGCCTCATCTGCACGTCTTTTAAATACTTCCAGGGTTGGTGACTCCACCACTTCCCTGGGCAGCCTGTTCCAAGGCCTCACCACTCTTTCAGTAAAGAAATTTTTCCTGATGTCTAACCTAAACCTCCCTTGGCGCAACTTGAGGCCATTTCCTCTCGTCCTAACTAGACTCCAGTAAGCAGCTAAGGGGTGCAACTAGTCATATTGTGGGGACTTGTTACGGCACTTCCCAGGCAGAATGGTAATCAGGAGTGGCTGTAGTTGCCACCGTGACAGTTAGCTCAGCTCTTTCTTGTCTTCGTCTAGGCAGTGACTGGAAAAATGGTGCTAGGGGCATGCCTTACGAATTATTTTGGAACGGCTACTCTCTGTCTGCAACTTTTTCCTGGTGTTTCTTATTTGGGCAGGGAGGCTGAATACAGAGATACTGTGTTAGGGTCTCCATCTCAGAGTGTGAAAAGTATGTCTGGTGTCCAGGAAATCCTGGATTTACTATGCATTTGCAAAAGACTCGTTGCAGAGCAGAGGCTGTTTTTCAGAATGAGCCTTTCTGTTTTCCAATACCCTGACAGCATATAAATTACATTTGAAAAACTGTTTTGAAATTGTAATACCTTTTCCATCCTCAAGTTACTTTTAAATTCTTAACAGCTTATGACAGGCAGTGGTTGTAGACAGTTTATTCTTTACTTTGTGTCTTATGTAAAGTAAACTGAAATAGTACTGATACTATTTTTGTGTTCTTGTGATGCAGCAGTGGTTCAGGAAAAGATGGCTGAAAGTTATACAAAATACAGTATTATAATACTACTTTCCTACATTATTCTTTGCTTAGGACTTGCTGTTGCATTTTGACAAATGTAATTCTTCTTTTATTTAAGGGACTTCTTCCAAATTCCTGAAGCTTTACTTTGAAGCTGTACGTGTATAGAGTTAGACGGGAGTAAAAACCTTTATCAAATATGCTATTTTAAGCTCTGAAAGACAAATGAACAGCAAAATTCCAACTATTTAGCAGCTTGCATCATGAACAGGATTAACACAAACGGGCAGTCCAGACTTTCTAGGAATCCAAAGCTCATTATAGAAAGCAGTCCTACTTAAGGAAATTATTTAAGTGTGTATTTAAAGAGAGGTTTTTGTCCTGGTTATTGCATTTAACAGTATCTGGTTATTGCATTTAACAGTGGCTTTATTCAAATTCAAGCCAAAAGAATTTTCTTAAATCTCTTGCTACCTTTTATTGAAGAGTTATTACATAAAATATGTGAAAACATTGCATTTTATTTCCATCTGTGAAAATAATATCACATCTTTTTTCTAAGGTTGCAGATGCATATGCTGAATGGGGCCCTCTTGGCATTGCTGTTTCCTGTTGTTAATACACGCCTGGTGAGTGTACTGTACTTTTACTCCTCCTTTTTTATTTATTTCAAGAAGATTTTCTTTGGAAAGATGTTAGACCTTTGCTTTGTTTGGCCTTTTAAAGTTCATTTTACCAGGCTGTAGATTCCTGGTACAGGTTACTACAATGGAGCCAAAATACCAATCTTGGATTTTTTTGTATTTATAAATCAATGTGGAAAGCTAATGCTGCTGTATTCTAAGTGTAAAAAAACCTTCTTTGTCAATTCCATCCTAGCCTTTAAATGGAGGGAAAACTTAATGGCTTTGAAAGAAGCTTTCATAGGTTAGTGTTGTGGCCTGTGGCAAAATTCAGTTTCAGGCTTTTCAGACTATATGTAAATGTAAGATTCCTCAGGCATGGAAAATGCCAAACGTTGTTGGTGGCTGCCACCACCTCTCTCCCAAGATTAGGCACAGCAGGTTTCTTTTTTCCATCCAAGTTTTCAAAACTGCTATAAAATTCCTGCCTCCTGGACAAAAAATTAGCCTGTTGGGTCCCTAGTAAGATTCTTAAACCTATTAAGAGTTAGTAAGAAAAGTTATCCTGAGTCTGAGCCATATCAAATATTTCTAAGGATTATTTTTAAAAGCTGTTATGCATGCATAGGTAGGGGGTGTGTGTATGTGTATATGCATATATGCCTACATGCTTGTTCATTTTTTGTCATTTGGCTTATTTGCAAAAATCCGTTGTTGCAGTTATTTTAATGTCTGCTTTAAGGTAGAGTTCACTTAAATTTATCTGCTTACGTGTTTATGGTGTCTCGATGAAGTACTCGTATCTATATCCGTATAGCATATGAATTAATGATATTAACAAAATTGTTGTGGACTTCAGACTCCATTACAGATCTTGTTAGTGGCTGTCCGTTTGCAAATCTTGACTATCTTAATAAGACTAAGTATAAAAATCTGCATCTGTATTGAACTTTATGGATGATATGCTATGTTGACTGGCCATGCTGGTAGCTAGGAGACCTGAAAACTGACAATTTTATTGTTGGCTTGTAAATGGTTTCTTTTTTCCCCTCTTTAAGACTATAAAATTTTGCACTGAGACACAGTTTAATTACTAGAGAAAGGATAATACATCTGTAGGCTTTTACAGGTTAAAAATAATCTTCCATAAAGCATGACACACACATGCACAGGAGGTTGGATCATATTTTTCAGATTTCAGTGGATGTAATAGTATAATAAACGTAGAGTTCTTCCAAGATTTACGTTGCCCTTCCTAATCTGGTAACTACATATATTCTTTTCTATACTGTAACAGCTTATGTGCAGTTTGCAATTATATTTTAATCAAACTTGATACTTCTGAAGGGGCATCAAATGAATAAAACCAGTGTTTTTTCCTGATAAGGAGAACTCTTTTTATTTTGTATTTCAAACTATCTAGTTTTTAAGTAAATATAAACTTTAGCATAACAAAATGATTTTTCTGGATAACCTTTTAAGGATAAAATGTTGAAATATTTAAGAAATCATTAGCTTGTATTTTCTCTGCCATTATCATAGATCTCATTCATATTAGGGCAGTGGTGATTAAACAGGAAAAATACAGACTACTTATAAAATTATTTCCTTAATTAGGGATAGAGGAGCCAAAGGATAATATCCAAGAGCAAATGTTTTTGGAATAAATACAACTTAGGATATTTTTGGCCTAACAGCTGCTTGCTAGGCTGTTCTCTTTTTCAGTGTTTCTTCTGGCACAAGATAATGTGGGTGATGTTTTATAGCACTGCTGCTTTGACCCAGATTCTCTCATGGTAGACACACATTCTGCTCTGCAACTGTCATTGTAGTTGTTTATACTGACCTTGTCCTGAAAGCAATAAATGTATCTTAAAACTTAGTAGAAAGTTCAAAAAATCACAATAATTTTGTCCATGCTGTCTGCTCTGGTTTGTAGTATATAAGTGAAAAACTTTTGATTCAGTCAAGAATTGTTGTGTCTCTATGCCTCAACTTTTTAATTTCAGTTTCATGATATTTTAGTACATACATTTTAGTGTGTACATTTCATACAAAAATTTTGTATACTTAGTTACGTCTGTAGACAGTTGTCATATATAGTGTGTGTGGCACAAAGAGCATGAAAAATTGGGCACCTAACCCAACTATTAATTTAGAAGTGAGGAGGGAGATCTTGTCTGGGGCAGAGAGAGTTCTGAGGTCAATGGGGACTGAAAAGCAGGAGACTGTCGCCTCCCATCACTTTGAGAGATTGTACCAAATTGATGTATTGCCGTAAGCACTGGAATGCCTTGCGTTACCTTTCATAGTGTAAAATGTATTTTATCCTTATGAGTTATTTGGTATAGAGCTGGATGTTGTCTTGTTGTAGGTAGTTTTCATTGCCTTCAGCTGACATTCTCCTGAACTTCTCTCTTCCATGTGGATTGCCTATTAGTTATCTTACAGGCAGCAGATGATTACTGTTGAGCTGTAGTCTCTTTTTGAAGAAGCCTGCTAATTTAGCAAGTTCTTCAATAGGCATGTACCTGCTAGCTAGCAAATTGTGTATCATTATGGAGATGAAACCCATGAGATGTAGGAGAAAATATTAGAAGTATAGTTTTATTTGTACATACCAATAATCTGAAAGGGACAAGAGACAGAAGATACAGAATGAAAGATAATTACTTCACCAGCTGATGGATGTTTGCTTAGGAACTAGTGGTTGTCAGGATTTTGGTTCTGAGTGTTAACCTGTTCAAAGTAATTTCCAGAACACTTCTTACAGCATTTTGTGGCGCAGTCTGTTAGGGTCACGTATTTTTGCTACCGATTATGTTTCTTAATGCATTGTAAGTATTCTTTTTGTATATATGATTCAATGCTAAATTATGCTGAAAAAGAAATTTTTGGAAGCTTCTAGCATAATTTGACATTTTCCATTTTCTTGTAATGTATCTGTTAAACTTTTTTAGAACCTCAGTCATTTCAAAACTATTTTTAAATATTTGGCTGTTGCCAGTGGAAATGGAAAGTTGAGATATTAATTGAAACTACAGTAGAAAGTTTCTATCTTCTGTTGTTTTAACCTTTCAATGACACTATACTCATTAAAAATCTTGTTGGACTGTAATGGGCACCTGGGATAGTGTTCCAAAAAAATGTATTCTGAAAGATGAGGTCAGTCTATTCTGTTCTTTCCAAGAAAATATTTTCCTGCCTTGGCATGATGTTGAGGTGCCAACAACTAACAGTCTTGAGCAACAGATGCACCCACTTGTATTTATTTGGCAACTAAATATTCCAGTTTTGCAAAATTATTTACAATGTGCTGATGGAGTTAATTTTTGTGCATTGGAATAGTCATTGAATAAAGACAAAACAGTCTGTTCCTTATTCAGCTAATGTTTGTGAGTTCTTATTACCATTTCAGAAAAAAAGGGTATTTTAATTTTCTCTCATAATTTCATTCCCTTCTCATGATGCAAATCGTTCTTGTCAGCATTAATAATTCACATGGAAAATAGGCTTTTATGACCTTTAAGTAAATACAGAAGAAGAAGCTGAGGGAGTCAGATTGTTAGGTTCCCAAGTGGGACCCTAGAAAGGTATAAGAAGATACACAGGAGTAGAAGGATTTCTTTTTACTCTGCACTTTTACTCTGTATTTATATTATATGGAATACAGTGTAGGTCCTGGTAACCTAGCTATGCGAGTAAATTCATTTAACTGCCACAAAGACTCCAAGTGTTTGGAAAGTAACTGTTTTTGTTTGAACTTTCATATTGCATTAATCGAATTTTAAGGGAAACTCTTTCCACTGGTTTAAAAGCGTTTTTTTGCAAGCTGATGTCCTGAAAATGTTGATATAGATAAAGTAAAAAACAGGACATGTCCCAGAGGTGTTGGACTTGCTGTCTCTGCTCACACAGCTGAGATGGTGCAGTTTTAATGTTACCGGAAGCTGCTATATTCTATTATTAGAACTATTTGGCTTGAGAGGTACGCATTCTAAATCTGTTTTAGGAACAGAATCATACTCTGAGCAGTACTTACAGTGCACTCTGTGTAGCCCCTCTGATCATTGCCTACTGCATTTCTTTTGACTGTTAAGGTAATAATTCACTGTACTAAATAGTTTGCCTGAAATGCGTGTGGCTACACAGCAAAATGGAATAGGTTATGGTAGCACATTATGTCATATCTAAATTGCCTTAATCTAACTGGCACAAGGAGAAACAATGGAACTGTTGCACATTGGGGACTGTTGATAGATTATGCTTTGGTTGCTGGTAGATCTAAAGCCAAGGTTTCCGTATCTTTCAGCAGTTATCTATGCTATGTGCATTAAAATGGTATGGGTGTGTAAGTGGAGTCTACAATCACACTTGTATTTGGTAATGTAAATCTACTTTCTGCTGGTGGTGATAAGTAGTCCTAATATAATCGCTAGAGGAACTGGAAAAGTACTATTTCTGAAATTGGTATTATTTGCCTCATATAATTCCTGTTTTTAGACTCTACAAATGCCTGATGGTGTCCGTTGCGTCATTCATGTGAGCTGGTTTGTATAATCAAATGGAGTGACCAGAAGACAGTGGTGCCTTTTTATGAGACACAATAAACATCAAATATAGTGCTAGTCAAATACTCAGAACACTGATAAAAGTCAAAACAAATGCATTCAGTTGAGATCAGCAGTGCACTGAACAGTGCCTTTTCCTGATTTTCTCAGTGAGCATCATGCTCTGTAGTGACAGGCCAAGTGTCGGGGTTTAACCCCAGCCGGCAACTAAGCCCCACATGGCCACTCGCTCACTCCTCCCCGGTGGGATGGGGAGAGAATTGGAAGGATAAAAGTGAGAAAACTTCTGGGTTGAGGTAAAGACAGTTTAATAGGGAAAGCAAAAGCCGCGCACGCCAGCAAAGCGAAACGAGGAATTCATTCACTCTTCGGCAGGCAGGTGTTCAGCCATCTCCAGGAAAGCAGGGCTCCATCACGCGTAACGGTTACAGCCAT